GGGGGGGGGGGGGGGGGGTTGACCCTCTTCCGCCTATTAAAGCGCTATTTCCTGAAACAATGTTGTTTCTAAACTCTGGTTCCTTAATGCCAATTAAATGTTGCTCCTAAATTTAGCCAGAGACAGTGGTTCCTCAATGCAAATTCTACTGACTCCTCATTTCAGTGACACTGCAATGCTTCGTCAATCGTGTCAGGCCCGGATGCTCCATACGCTAGAAAAAAGGGAGACCATCGTGACATGATGTAGCAATTAATGCTGAAAAACCACATTATTCTTCATACCTCCCTCCTTCGGAATGGTTCATCCAAGAACAAACAGCAAAGATTGTTCCAGTGACCGACAACAGGTTTACACCCAAAATCAGTGGTGATAATCCATGCACTTACCTTTTTGTTGAATAGGTCAAACAAGTTGACATTGGGTGCCATGATCTTGTCTTGAATGATTGATTTGCACTCTCTTCAACTTTCACTGTCTTTAACATTCACTTTCACTTCACTCATAGAAAATGAAACTTTCAACTATGTAGCCGGTTGGTCACTCGAGATCTTGAGATTAACGTGGGACTGAGATCCTGAGATATGTCCTTCGACCAGAGAAAACGAACGTGCACGTGCTTTGGACTGGGACCATTGGACCATCACCATCAAACTTCGAACATCTAATCTAACCTCAAGCCTCCCTGATGCATCGCAATTTTTCCGTTGAAAAATGCTTTTGGGCAGTGAGTAAATGCTCGAAAAACTATTGACCAGTTATCATCTTTCTCTTTTTTGAGAAACTTAATGAGACCCATGATACTTGATCAACGTAACCTGTGTTTACCTACTTTTACAACGTGTTTGACTGTGCCTGAAATCGTCTTACACGAGCCGAATATTTGTTGCAGGTGACCGAGCTTGGGATTTTCTTGGCGTGTTGAGCAAAGGCCGCCGACACTTTATGCCGCCTCACAATGCTCCATTCTTGGGAGTCATGGAAGCCGCTGGCACTCCTCGTCCTGTTGAGCTGCACTCTCGGGCGTGCGGAAAGAAAAAGAGGGCGCGACTACGGGGCCGGGGGGCGGCTCCTGGGGGGTGGGGTCCAGGGGGCGGGGGGTAGCGCCCTCCCCAAGGAGCCCGGTCCGAGCCTGGAGCAGCTCAACGTCTGCGACCTCGTCTCGCACGCGGTGCTCCGGACGCTCAACATCTACTGCAACTGCGACGCCAGGGAGCCGCTCAACGCGTCCTCGGCGACCTGTTGGTTGTTCAACGAGGGCGAGAAGCCCGACTCTCGCATCTGGGACGCCTTCAAGTCCCAAGAAAACATCCTGCAGCTGGACGTTCTCATCCGAGCGAATAACTCCCGCATACTCAACTACATACCTACCAAAGGTGAGACTCCTTTGCAATTATCCCTTGGTGACGTGGATCCCTAAGGTTCTTCTTACCACCACTGTCTCAATGTTTACTCTATTCTCTAGAACATATGACATGTTCGATGTACTGAATATCGGCATAATGAGCTTAGAAACTTCCACTAACTATGTGATTATCTTGAGAAAACTTGCTGCAATATCTTATTCTTATTGGTGAGCAAGAAAAGCTTCTCTTTTCTCTCTTCTGAAGCCCGTAAAGATAAGAAATGCAAAAATAATAGAATTCCTCCAAAATGATAACCCCATGAGACGCAGCATCCCGACACACGTAATGCTAGGGTGGTCCAAACTGGGCAACTTCGGAAAATGAACCGCGACTCAACCTAAATGTGTTCCTTACCATCCAAATATGATACCTGCCAAATATTTTCGTTCTCCGATAATATTAACACGTGCCGACTTGAAGCTGAAAATCTTCCAAAAAATTACATTGATTTAAATGGGGCGAAAATCGGCCGATCCGCGGTATTTCGTTTTTCGGCTGTAAAATGCGCCAAAATGCAAATAACTTGCTCTTAACTTACGATGATACCTAGAGGCCTATTGTGAATGAGAAAATCACACATTCGACCCATTGGGAGGGGGGGAGGGGGTCACAGCGGAGCCGATTCATAGTTGCTGGGGCGCCGCGTAAAGCATCATGCGTTAGTGTGATACGCTCCGGGCAACTTCGGGAAATGGACCGCGTCGCTCCTTAAATTAGTTCCATTTGATCCAAAAACGACGCCGGCCACGTTTTATTTTACTCTCTGATAATATTAAAACCTGCCACCGTAAGACTGTTTTTAGGAAAATTGCAAGAAATAGGAAAACAAGACGAATATTATTAAAATTTGTAACGTTGGTATAAAAAAGCAGCGTTGCACCTTACTTGTGTTCGACCGCACCTATAAAATACGGATTTCAAGTTTCAGCACTTGACATATAGCATTCAGAAAATTTTCTTTGGAGAGAACCTAAAAAATATTCGAAAATATCAAAAACCGCAACAACGGTAAAGTTGCTAAAACATGTTCTAGTTTGAAAATTTCTGATGCCCGCTGATAAGTGTCAGTGCGTATTTAAAAAAAATTATCGATTGAAAACCAAATGAGTATGCATTTAAAGTGAATTTAAAGCGAGTAAAAACACTGAAAATAATGATGATGACATAACTATAATAATGAGACTATATCCTAGATAAGGAGCAAGAGCAAGTACTCTATCTCGTGAACAAAAATTTGTTTTGTATTGCCAAATGTTACACAATAAATTATATACACATTAAACATTATGTAGGCATTAGTTGTGGAAAAGACTTTCGTAATTATAGTTCTTAAAATAAATAACAGGTAGTAAAAAGAATATTACCTTCTGTTCTATTCAGAAGTCTTGAGTCATCCTTTTTTTGTTGAGATCCCTGAAGAGCTTTCTGTACTCGGCAACATTTTGTAAAATACTTTGCCTCTGTGCCTCATCTTTGGTCAAAATGTTGGAGTACTCACTTATCAACTTTACTCCTCTTTCCGCGGTGTCATTTATAACTTTAATCTTTTTTACAATTGACTGACTTTTTTTGTACGACTCTATTTTTCCCCAGTCTGCAGGATCTTCACCTAGGAAATCGTCATCTAATTCTAATCTTTCAAAAAATGCATTAGAGTCATTGGTAATGAAATCACTGAGCTCTTTCTCTTGCAAATCATGTATATCAGCTAATTTCAATCTTTTAATACCTTCGTTTAAGGGATTTTCTTTTTCGAGTGCTTTTACCATTTTTCGTTTTTCATCGATGGACACGTCGTCATCGAAGAAAGCAAGAGGAGCATTTTCAGAAGTGAGATACCACAAGTGGTTTTTAATTTTATCGAGGACAGCTTCGGAGATGTGCGAATCTATTTTTTTAAATTCTATTACCTGCTTAGCAAAATTCAAGTCCAAACTGGGCGCTTTGTGTGGCAAAGGAGCCATGAACCATGCCTTCAAGTAAATCTTAACAATAAAAATACAAACATCTTTTATGCTTAGCTTCTCTTCTAACGTAAAATCAAGTTGCTCCCGAAAAAGGTGCATTTTCAGGGTATAAATGCATTTAGCCATCCAACGAGTTTGGTTAAAAGCTCCGGGTGCTCGGAACTTAGCACCTTCTATCTCGCCAAGGATAATTTTAACAAGTTTCAAAAACTCTTCGTAGTCATCTCGTGGCTGTTTCTTAGCCGATAGAGTTTTATCTATAAAAAGGAGAATTTCAGATCGATCACTTTCAAATAAGAGTAAATCCTCAGCACTAAAACCTTCGAAATTATGCACATCGATTGCTGGCCAGGCGTTTTTAAATTTAGTAAACAATACAATATTCGGACCAGGAGAGTGAGGGATTTTAATTTCAAACGCTGCTTTTAGGTGGACCTCATAAATATGATGTCGGCATAAAAAATAAAGCAGGTCTCTTTCGAGGAGTTCCTCCAAAAGTGTACAAGCACCGTTTCGATGTCCCGTATTGGAACTTGTCGTGTCGCAACAAAGACCCTTCACCGTGTGACTTAAATCCCACTCTATTAATTCACTGTAAACAGCCTTTGCCTCATCTCGCCCACTTGAGCTTGATAAAGCAGGCACAGATAAAAGTTTTTCCACGTCTCCACTGGTTAAGATGATGGCAAGTCTGTCATGTTTCCCGGACCCTTTATCATCAGGAAAAAGTTTCCCATCCCAATGTATAATTGCAGCATCTAAATTCATGTCCTTAAAATAAAGCTTTATTTTTTCCGCTTTCTCAAGACGCAATGTTTGTCTCGCCCGTCTGATAGAAGAACGACTTGAGATCATCGAGGCTGGATCGAAACCTAACGCCTCCACTATTGCTGATACTAAGTGAACAGCATCCCTGTCGCTCACTTTGCACTCGTCAAGTGCCGTGACAACTTTGTGGCTCATGACATCCACCGAACCTCTTCGTTGGGTTTCTTTGGGTGTAGGCTGTTGCGAAGGTCCAGGATCGAGTGGGTTGGCATCAGAATCTTCTGAAGTTTCAACGTCCTGGTTTGAGTTATTAGAACTGTTCAAGAAGTCCTGAATGGCGATTGCCTCATCCTCACCTAAAAGTGGATATTTCAAAAATCACTTTCAGAGACTGACATCTCTCTTTAGTCCCTATCCCTTTAAATACATAAAAAAATGTTGAATTGCAAGGGAGAGCCTTTTTCGTCCATGACCGTCATGATATGATCGACTTTTCGTTCTTTCCCCAGTTAACCCTCTACGGCATAGCGTTACGAATTCTTAACAACGCGCTCTTTTAATTTTTAAAAATCGAGTTTTGCGCGCATTTTTCAGCGAGATGGAAAATTAAAGATAATTTATTTGCCATCATCTTGGCAACATTCCAAACATCATCAAAATGTGCCAGAATTTTAAAAAAATACACTTGAAACGAGCCAACTGAAACCTTAAGATGCTAATCATTGATACAGTAAACTAACTAACAAAACTAACTATTTTGGTAGGTAAATTGATTTCACAATAAAATTTCCTGAGATTGTTTCTAACTTCCATCATGTTCTCAGTATGCCATGAATTAAGTACATAGAAACAGTAAAATCCTTTTTTTTTTTTTTTTTTTAGAAAAAAACAATGTGTTAAATTTGGAGGTTCCCCGTCAAACTCTCGGATAATTCTAACAGGTTGCACATGCAACCCTTGAGAAATATTTAAATTCTCATAGAACATGAAATTTCAGTACCTCTATGAAGTTTCATTGTGCATCCCTGATCACAGCAGCAACATTCCCCACGGCATGATGTTACGAATTTGTAACCAATATTCATTTTTCGAAAAAACTTTGAGAGGGTCAACATTTTAAAGAAAGAAAAATTCGGAGCTCTATTATTTTTTACAATCTACGACATAGATTTATTTCATTAAAATTGGTGACCCAAAATTAATTTATGCCGTAGAGGGTTAATGAAAGTAGCAAAATTGACATCTTTGAATCTAAAAACTCTTCTTTACCCCTTGAAAATAAATTTCCTCAGCTGGCAGAGTATTTTTTGTATATGATTTCAACAACAATTTATAATCAAATGTTGATGCACTCTCGCGTGTAGTCCTTCAATGCCGCCTTCAATAATAATCGGACAAAGACAAACTTAAGGTGATTCGATGGACGCCATATTTTGTGTCAGAACGACGTGCGATACATCGCATCGATTGGCTCTAACTTTCAGCTGCTATTAATGTTTCTCGAATTTTGAGATCGTAATTCTGTTGTCAGGAGACTAAAGCACTCACTTACCAATTTTTACAAATAAATTCGACGTAATAAAGGCGTGGTTTTTAGACGAGTGCTTTAGTCTCCTGACAACAGAATTGCGATCTCAAAATTTGAGAAAAATGACGAGTAGCTTAAAAAATGAAACCAATTGATGCCATATATCGCATGCAGTTCTGACACGAAATATGGCGTCCATGGAATCACCGTAAGCCGCCTTTATTGGAATAATCATTATTTCAAACATAGTTTTTTTTAAAAATGTAAAAACATCCGAAAATAGACTTACAGTTTTTCTGCAATTCTGCGCTGTGATTTGCCTCTCGATCTCGTTTCCTCTTCTCCCTTTCTGCCTTTCGTTTCTCCTTACCCTCTAATTTGGTATCTATGCCGTACATGAAACCGACGCGACCTTTCAGACGCTGATTAATTAAAAACTCTTTATCTTCTTTAATTGTAATTAAATTTAACGCGTCACGGTGGGCAATATCAAAGAGATCGTCTAGTTCATCGACGAAAGTTTTTTTACGTTCTAAAAAGACATCGCGGCACTTATTCGCATTTTTCTGCAAGTACCTCCATTGTTCATAAAGATCCTCCACTTTTTTAACACAATGAGAATTGTAATGCACTGGAATTCTCGCTTTGTTCCAGAAAATGATAACTTCCTGGACCACCAGGTGTGCACTGTCGCGTAAACTTAACTG